TTCCGTAATTCCATATTGAGAACAATAAGGTCATCCTTCATTTTACTGCCAAAAGCTGATCTGGAAAGGAATATTCCACCTATGGAATTATCCAGGGACTGATCATCAGGAAGGATTCTGTGAGTCAGACAAACTCATAATCAACAGCATATCTACATTGCTTCTTGTAATGAATGCCCTACAGCTCTTCAGTACAGAAAAGCATGTTCTTAGGGATGTTTGGCACTAATCAAATCTTAGTACTCTGACACAGATTGGATGTGTCAATTAAAGTTAAGTACTCAGCAATCAATTTAAATCACAACTAATTTCTCTTTAGCTGCAATGGTATATCTCTGACAGATTAATGAGTTGCAGTTTATGGTGTAGCATGGAATCTGCTGTAATTTTTTTTCACTCAATTGAACTGCCATAGATATACGCACTATCCTTGCTGCAGTTCAGACCTGCAATAATGCAGAGATGAAATAAAAAAAGTCCCCTTATTTGCCATAATAAACCATGCCAGTGAAAAGATCACCATTGTTTATTAGCATGACAAGCAAAAGGATGAGCCATTTCACTCTAGCCTAAATTTTTTGATAATTAAGGAAGTTCTTGTCCTTAGATTTAAAATGTTTTCTCCCTCTAGTATTTACCCTTCAATATATTAATGGATATCAATCAATTAACTCATAAATTCTTTGTACTACTGATTTTTAAAAAAGCAAACTTTTCCTGACTATTTTCAACAGAACTGGCTATCCTGTGCAGTCCTACATCATCCTTTTCTGCACCTTCTTCTATATATTCCTTTTCTGACCATACATGACTACAGAATGGGCCTCATCATAAATAATCTCAGTAATCATGAGGAAATATGGGAGAATCCTTCAGATTATACAAACTATATTTACATTTTGTTTATATTTACATGTCAGTGTAAATTTCAAGGGTCTTCTACTTTGATTTTGCAATGACATTGGTAATCTGCATGGAAAATTACTTAGCAATTTCAGGGGCTTAAATTTAGATACTTGTGTTTCTATATTAAGGATATTTTATTAAGGCATATTGAAATCATTAGCTAAATAGCTTTTGTTCCAGTCTGAAATTTTCAGTTATGTAAAGGAAAACTAAGGAAACTCCATCAATTTACCCAAATTCAGTTACCTGAAGTGCAGGCACAGTGTTTAGGGCCAGTGAAGAAATCTGAAATGGAAAGATGTTATTACCACAAATTAACAATATACCACAGAGCATCCTCTCTAATTATATTAGTCAAGGAAGCAATAAAAAAATGTCAAAGTATATTGTAGATGCATAAGGCAACCACAGCATTTTGTAGAACAAAGACCAAACATTTTTTTCATTTACCCAAGAAGGAAAATGGAAAATGAAGTGAAAAATGCTCTACATATTTCTTCATCTTTTGGCATACCAAGGATGCTGTTCTGAAATATGAAATTACTAGTACTATTTCACTAGCAACTGAATACCTGATAAATCAGCATCTGACAACTTGGGGGAGGGAGGGTGGATAAAGAGAGACCAAATAGTCTCATTCACTGTGGCGTGATAAACAAATTCAATAAATTAAATAACTCGTTATAATTATAAAAGTATACTTATTTTGAAGTGGCTCTTCAAGACATTGGTTACTTTTTTAGGCCAGGATTCCCTTGGATCTTATTTTTCCTGATACATATCCTTCTCCCTTGCGACACCTGCATAAACCATTTAAATCATCCCTTGTTTCCCCCATGACTCTAGTAGTTCTCTAGATTTTTACCTTCTAATTTTCATTCCTTAGCAGCAGGTAACCCTGCTAATTTTCATTCCTAACTTCAGTCTTCTTGTGAGCAGCTCTTTCCAGTACATCTGTGGTATCTTCTTAGGAATAGAGGATAATATCCAGTTTTCATTACAACAAAGAGCCACAGTTATCAAATTTTAAAAAAAAAATCTTCACAAAAACAATATTTCTCATGTTGTTCATGTGAAGAATATGAGAAAAATAAAGCAATAAATTTAAAGTGGCTTTAAATTTACTCTTAGAAGTGTTCATAGAAAGTCCATAAGATTTTCATGTTAAAATTTTAGTGAACTAGATCAGATAAAGCTAGAATCATTTTATAATGTTATGCAAAAGACAAGTCTAGGTTTCACTTGGATATATCAGGCAAAATTGTAACAGTATTTAAAACTTCAACAAGTAGAGCTCTGGAAGATTATTCATTTATGCATGAAGATTTGATTATTTGGTTCCAATGGCAGCATTCAAAAATTATGAGAGCAGGTGATATGCAATGTTCAGATGAAAGGCACATTGGAAATTTTTATATATCCTTCTCTCAGATCTAGAAGGATTCCACATACAGTGCATATCAAATAATACATTAAAGAAACCAGTAATAGTCAATTAATGAGGATTTGGGCAGAAATTTCCATTAGGCAGTCTAGCTATATTCTGTATGCTGTGGGAATATAGCTCTACCTGTATCAGTATAATGAAGAAGAAATCTGTAAGCACTCTAAATTTTACTATGTGTTGGAAATTGTTAATTAAAATGTTAGTACTAGAGTCCATAATAGCCTCAGTCTCGGCTTCAACAAAGCACAATTACCTGGTCCCCCAATTTTTATTTTGCTGAGCCCTGTGAAGCTGATGAACAGAATCCTGACCCTGTAAGAAAGTTCACCCTGTGGCTAAGGGTTTCAAAGGACCGTGGATCAAGTGCAAACCCATAAAGACTCATTCTATAGAACCAGGGTACAGCAGCTGTTCAGACAATGGTAGCCTTCAGGCTCTGGAAGTCACCACAATTTAAACGATGATTTGATGATTTCTCTCTTCCCTCAAGGAACCTCCCCAGCACACAGTTATTTGAGTTGGGAGTCACCCCCTCCAGGCAAGCAGCACGTGAGAATAGCAATCCTCATGCAGGAAAACAAATCAATTCTGGCAGTTAAATTCTGGTCTCTGTGTTTACATCAAGAAACTCTACTTGTTTAAAGCAGTTTTACCTTACGCTCACAATGTGTAATTATAAACTGAGACTATGAATACTTGTCTTTCATACAGTAGCAATCAAATATATATCTTTCCTTTTGATAATCAGGAATTTCTTTTCGTGAATAATGACAGCCAATTTAAGTCAGACTTGTCAAGGGAAAGAACCATGAAAAATAGCTTCACTTGTTTCAATGAAAAATTTAGCTAAGATTCTTTTCGTCTTAAGAGCTTGAAACAATTTACACCAATAAACTTTACGCGAAATGCCACACAGAATAGCTTAATAGAACCTTGAACAGATTCCTCCATTTGTCTTTCTCCATTTTCACTCAGCTTTCTGCCATACATTTTCCACCTATTCTATCTTAGATGTTTGAGAAGTCCCATTCAGAAATTCATCATATTCTACAGAGAAAAGTAAAATAAATAGACACACTTTGGGTTATAAAAATTTACAGGTAAAGCTTAGGTTTGGCTGAAGTGCAGAGGAAGTGCTGAGAGCTGCAGTGTTCACACCCAGGGCCCCAGGTTTAGAGCTAGTGTTTCCTTCAGTGCAAGCTTTACACATGTTTGGGTCAGATAGTAGAGCCATCACTCTTCCCACATCCTGCTTCTTCCTCACCTTTGATTTTATACAGGAATTTGGAAGGGGAACTGGTACTATGTGGTATTTGGGATATCATGCAAATAAATAAGGATATGTCATGGGATATTATGTTTTCTTGCTGCATGGAAGAAAATAAAAGCTAAGTTTTATGAACACTGAGCACAGACTTGTCTAAGGGTTTTGGCTTACTTTAGAAAAAAAAAAATCTAGCTCTGTTTTCTTCACGCCATGTTGCTAATTATTAAAAGTACCAAGAGTTTCTCTTAAAACATTTTTATGGCTCTCGAGGCTGCCACAAGCCAGAAAAAGAGGGGAATTTTCTCTTAGTCCTTTTCTGAAAGGGGGGGTTTAAAAAAATAATTCATACCTTAAAACAAGTAATAGCCTTTAAAAGTATAGTTCCTATGTCCTTATGCTCAGTGTCTCAATTCTCTCAGTTCTTGAGATGCTAATATAATGAGATGCTAACATTCACTTTTATTAAAAACAAAGACTTTCACCTTTCAGTGATAAAGTTTGAAGAATATGTGCAACCATAAATACAACATTGTCTCTGACAGAGAGTATATACAACTCCAAAATTAATTCCAGGAGTTTAAAGCACTCCAATTGCCTTTTCTATAAAAGCACCCTTGATTAAGACAGGACTATCTGTAGGAATTAAGCTGACTCCACTTGTACCTAAGCTAATCTGTCATAAGGATTTATGTGATCTTATACATGGCCAGGTTGGATGGAGCTCTGAGCAACCTGGTCTAGTGGAAGGTGTCCTAGCCCATGGCAGTGGGGTTGGAACTGGATCTTTAAGGTCCCTTCCAACCAAACCATTCTGTGATTTTATGATCTCCAGCTATTTGAGAGGAGGAACATGCATCCTCCTCAGACAGTTGTCTGGCAACTTACTTCTCACACAATTTTCAACAGGGAACTGAGGCACAGGAAGTGTAAGTGATGGGTCTAAAATATGTAAAGATTAGAGAAACAAAAAAAAAAAAATAACTTCCCTTATAGTGGAACAGATTCTCACCGCAAAAGAAAGAGAAATGGGAAAGCCCCAGCCAGGAGTTGGGCAGAAAAAAGTAACTCCATAAAACTCTTTTTATGCTTCTCTCATTTTGACTTCAAGACAAAGTTACTGTAAGGGTAAAGTTATATGGAGTTTTATGAACTGTACATGGAGGCTGGATTTTCTTAGCTTGGGATTTTTCAATAGCCCTGAAATACATCTTTATTCTTATCCATTGTGTCCCCACTAATACAAATAGGTATCATGCTGGTATTCAGCTAAGTAATACTTTTGTCATCCACAGATGGACAGGGGATTACGTGGCTAAGAAATGAAATAAAAGCTAAATCCCTATGCTCAATAAAGCCTTGCTTGTTTTCTCTTTCATTCAGGATTACCGAGTGAACATCTTTCTCCGACAGAACTGGAATGATCCACGCCTCGCATACAGTGAATATCCAGATGACTCTTTAGACTTAGATCCATCCATGTTGGATTCAATTTGGAAACCTGATTTGTTCTTTGCTAACGAAAAAGGTGCCAACTTTCATGAAGTTACAACAGATAATAAATTGTTGCGAATTTTCAAAAATGGGAATGTACTTTATTCCATCAGGTGAGTCTCTAATCAAATGATTATTTTTTTTGCAGATAGAAGCTCAAAAATGTACCAAAGAAATCCTAATGGATATGTTCGGTTGCTAGTCATGCAGAGCTATATCTGAAATAGTTGTGAGTTTTGAATACAGATTTTTATCATCATTCTGTTCATTGTTAATACTAAAATTGAAAATGATTCCTCATTAGATGCACATAGTAAAAATAGTAAGAAAAGTATATTTCCCATTTTAAAATACAGATACTGAGCATAGTGGAACTAGGACACTTGCACAAAACAAATAATCCTGGAATGGTATAATCTGAACTGGCCTATGTATGAGTTTCACATGCTGTAGCCTCCAAATGTCATGACAATCCAATTTTATTTAATTTTCACCTTTTTGGATATTTCAGTTGCACTTCAACATGGAAACATGACCTGTTTGAGGAAGCATGACATTTAAAGAATAGATCACTTACTGCTGGAAATGGAGAGAAAAGTGGGAAGTAAACTTTTGAAAAGGTTTAAGAAGCAGTGAGCAGCAATCATAAGTATTGACAAAATCTAGTTATCCTACTTCTTTTCTCTTATCTTCTCACCACTTTCCTTTTATTGATACTGACGTTAGTAGGCCTTTTACCACTACCTTCAAAAACCTGATCTAGTGAGAAACACATCAGATATAAGTATACTAAAGCCCCATTAGACATGGTATAGATTTGGTATTAATACAGTGACCTACATGTGCAAAATGTTACACTTTTCAAAGTAAATAAGCCTCTGGTCCAGTTAGCGTTTTGCTTCGCATGTTTTTATGACACTGCATTAATAGGTAATTGGGCTTTTTGAAGAGACATCAGGATCAGGAATTTGTGAAGCAATTTGTATACTAAAAGAAAAACAAAACATCTGTGACTTGCATGGATGTATCAGTGGCAAGGGAGTCTCCTCCTTCCTTGTAGTGCAAGTGGGCAGTGTCTTGCCAAGCTTACATAGGAAGAAAGGGTTGGGTTAAAATTCCTGTGTTTCATATCCAAAAGGAGGTTAGCCTGCCAGTCTGGGAACATAATCATTCTTCAGTGTCACAACATGTATTCTGTCACTAGAAACAGATGGAAAGCAAGTAAAAAGGATTCCTTCTCTGGAGCCAAGTAGAAAGAAGAGGTAAATCAATTGTCTCCAGACTGTCTGAATCACCCTGAGAGGCACTGGCAGTTTTTCCACTCTAGTCAAATAACTCTTCCTCTTTATCCCACTCCCTCCAGATACATACAACACAGGGTGTAGACACCACCACTCAACTGAAGCAAGTTTGGATTGCAATTTCAATAGAATTCAGACCAAATTCAGGGTCACATGAAATGGGAGAAAGAAAACAAACATGAGAAATTTATAATACTAAATGGTGATGAAAGAAAATTATAGCTCTTGTGTTTCTTATGGAGCCAGAAACTTTATGTTGCCACGATTTAATTAAGAAGTATTATAATTTCTGAAACAGATTTAAAATCATATAATCGCCTTCTAGCTGAGTCAGTTCAGCTTTTGATGAGGGGCAACATGTTAATTGCTAACATGCTAGATTTAATATTAAAAGGAAAAAAAAAATAATATTTTAAATTTTCCTTTCATTCCCTAACGATTCCTCCTCCCCTAATTGCATTGGAATTATAATATTCCCATGAAAATAATAAGGTTACAGTCCTTGATTCAATGAACACCTGAGTACTTACTGAAGCACAAAGCAAAGTCCAGGTGCCTCTTCTCTGAAATTACTTGTCATGTTATAAGCCTAATAGTCAGATTTTGTATATGGGACCATTTTTAATTGCATGGTAATAGGGTCTGAGTCTGAATTCCCTCCTCAGGCTCTCCCCCTGCAGCTCTGTCACTGGCAGGCTAAACAGAAGTTATAGTACCAAAGAATCAAGAAGCTTTGGAGAGCAAAAAAGAAAAATGAAAGAAATACACAGACACCCTTCCTACCTAATGCCCACTTCCCTTTAGCCCTAATTCCAAAAACAGGGGAATGACTAGTGTAAGGTTTTTGGAGAACATTCTATCAACTGATCTGATAAACAAAGGTGCAGTCATGATACTGGATGATGAATGGATAACTAAAGAACAACAATGAGGAAAAACATATACCTTTACCTCTTAGAACCATAGAATCAGCTAAGTTGGAAAAGACCTTTAAGATCATCAAGTCCAACCATTACCAAGACCACCACTAAATCATCTCTCTGAGGGCCTCATCTGCATGCTTTTTGAGTACTTCCAAGGATGGTGACCCCACCACTGCCCTGGGCAGCCTGTTCCAATGCCTCATTACCCTCTCTGTTTTTGCAAATATCCAGTCTAACCCCCCCCCCGGCAGAGCTTGAGGCCATTATCTCTTGTCCTATTGCTTGTTACTCAGGAGAAGAGACCAATCCCCAAGAGACTGATACTCCCTTCAGGTAGTCATAGAGAGCAATAACGTCCCCCAGAGCCTTCTCTTCTCCAGACAAAACAACCCCAGTTCCCTCAGCTGTTCCTCATAAGACTTCAGAGAATAAGTCTTCACCAGAAACATCAGACCCTTCTCCAGAAGTGCTACTTTAAAGATAAGTTACTGTATTGACATAAAAAGCAAAAATACCCGTTTTGCTTATAGGCTGCAAAGTATTTAACAGGAAGTATCAGGACTAACATGAAACACAGATGCAGTTCAAAATTACAGGCATGTTTCAGTGTGCCATCTGTATCATAAAATGTTATCTTAAACCTTTTGTTGGCAAATTAAGCACCTTATTTTAGAACAATAACACAGAAATTACTTTGCCATCATGATTTGCAGCTGACATCTGTTATGAAATTCTCGTAGGTCTGGGTGAATTTTATGTTTGAAACACTGTACCAGTCCAATAATTCTGCTGTAACACAAAAAACATGCTGTTGTTGAATTCCTTAAGACCTCTCATAGATTTAGGCAACCCCACTGAAAAACTGCTTTTCTGAAAATCCGTCATAATTTTTTTTCCACATCATCAAACTAAGCTGAGTGAAATGGCTTCAGATATTCTATAGCCCTTTTGAGAGTTTTCTAATAAAAAAAAAATGCATTTTCTTCAACTATTAATGACTTCCAGTATTTTCATGAATCCTTCCTCTGCACTTCTATGGCATTTTATGATATATTACTAATACTTTTTTTTGTGTTCTTTCAGATTGACTTTAATACTGTCCTGTCCGATGGATCTAAAAAATTTTCCAATGGATGTGCAAACGTGTATAATGCAGCTGGAAAGCTGTAAGTTTGTGTAATGTATTATCCTATAAATACATTTTCAGGGATTACAACAGCTATGCAGGAGGTAGATAGAACAAATTTTCAAAGAATCTTCTATTTTACCAAAAGAATCTGTGAAACATACATGATTTTCAAAGAAGGCATTCTTTCATCCTTACTTGTACAGAAAATCTGAAGTTACTACTGAACTTAAGTACCCAGTGCCAATTTATTTTTATGTAAAAACTTATGCACATAGGAATTCACCATTAAGTCTTCCCTATGTTCACACATACAGGGGGCAGTGATATGGAAGAGCATAAATGAAACATAAGGATAACTTAAAGAAGTGACTTATATGATTTACGTGAATATCCCCAAATCAGTAATAACTCAGTGTCCTAAAAAGCTGGAAACAAGATGATACATATTAAGTTCCTGCTCTGCAGATTCCTGCCCTAGATCTTCACCATGCCTACATATTCTAGCTACATATATATATAGTTTTTACCTAATCCTAGAAGGGATTAGGAAAAGTGTTTATTACAAAAGAGAATTGTAGAAGATTGCAAAGAATATATATGCATTTATGTATATGCCTATGCACTGTAGCTACACAGGATATATCACTGACACAGTTCTCATCCCCTCAACTGGGGCAGCATCTTGGATCAGTGGGCCAGCCCCAGAAATATTTTGGGAAGGGATGTAGTGCCCTTGCATTATAAGGAGGAGGAAGTCCATACAAGGTATCATTTAGTAAGGGATAAGATGTGAGTATGATCTGACCATCAGTCATAACACTGGAAAAATTCAGCATCTTCTGAAGACTCTAGACTTAAAGGAATTTGTAGCAGCACAGATGGCTTGACATTGACACCACGTTGCAAAACACAGAAAGAAAAAAAAAGACCTAAGAGCTTTCTCTTGCAGAGAAGATCCAAGAGTTTGCCCAAACCTGGTGTTACACTAGAATTTCAATGAAAAAGGTAAAATTACAACTCCACCTATTTCAAATAATCCCTTCGTAAAGCCTTATTTTGCATTATATACAAATATCATGAGGAGAGCAGAGAAGGTGAAACCAGCTTAGATAAAACAGGCATTGCAGAATTAACTTTCAGTTAATAGCAATACTTTTTATGTGAAATTAAATTAGCATCTGTTAACTCAACCCGTCATACAATCTACTTATCTCCCTCGGTATCTTGCTTAGAACTTAAAGTGGATGGAAAGCATAAAACAGATATGCCATTTCAAGGCACAGACACACAAAAAGACAAAACCAAAGGTTCTGTCTGATGCCATGATCTAAGCTAACACAAGATGTGTGAGGAGGAAGGCACAGATATGCATTAAATTCTAATATTCCTTGTAATAACAAAGTATTTGGAAATTGCCTTTCCCCCCTAAAATAAGTGTACTTTGGAAGAGATTTCTGGCAGAAAAATGATGTGAAGAACAAAAATAAAACGAAGTAAGCTTTCCTTGAGAAATTCCAGCAATCCGAAGATTCTGGAAATGCAGGGGAAAACAGATATGATAAGTACCCATCTTAGTGTCAGATCTAGATTTACAGGTTTAGGATCAATAAGTAGAATATCTCATAAAATAATTTCCTTCATATAGAATGAACAAACTGGATTACCTAAAACATATCATAGATCATAAACAAAAAGCACATAATTTTATTAAATTATTTGGGGAGGGGGGGGTCTTATTTTACTGGAACAAAGTAACATCTGACCAAAAGGGGAGGTGATTATCTATCAATGAGTACGTCACAACTGTTTGTAGCATAGATAATGCAATGCTTTTACAAAAAATTTCAGGGTGAGTATGAAAGCCTGTTCTGACTTCCATTACAATGGACAGATGGTAATGTTATAAAACAGGCTTTCAATGTGACGGCAATGGAAGAATCTGACAGCAGAAATTTTCTTGACTGAAATTGAAAGATAATTATTTGCTGCAAATGTCGAGGAGTTTAGGCAATATTATATATTCAATATTGAAGCAAAGCTTCACAGCCAACCCAAGCAGATAATCCTCCTAATAACCTATGTCACCTTTGTAATTAACGTGGCTAAATAGAAGGTTAATATGAGGCAGTTGTACCAGAGTACATACAGATGGCAGGAATATTCACTATATACAATTATGCTTCAACAGAAAGTACCATAGTGTTTCACTGAACAAGCAAAAGGTAAAATTTTAAAATTAATAATAATAATTTAAAATAATAATATGTTTTAAAAGTTAAGAAACTGTTGCTTTAACAGCTTCATAAAGCTCAGATGTATTTTTCCTCTCTTTCAGTCCTTGTGAGGACAAGTTGTACAATTGGGCATTCTTGAACAAATAGGCATCTGGTTTGCTTTATAGAAACCTTGCAGGAGCTCGCAATTCCCACAAACTACACCACAGGGATCCAACACATATTAGCTGAATAGTACTGTAGATGTTCAACTGTTTTTTTTCAGCAGAATATTTTTCACTGAAGTCTTGTTTTTAATCATTTGGTTCAGTGCGAGTAAATTCCCTGCTGCACATTCACAGAGCAGAGAAAGGCAATGTTCACAAAAGAAGACCTGAACAAAATACAAATGAGCACTTCAAAATCTTCTACTTACAGGGAAAGATCAAATCTGATTTCATAAGGAAGTTACAAGTAAGAAAGCTTTTCCCATATCGCCTTGTCTAATTCTATTTTACATCTCCAGACACTGAAAAATAGAATATAGGCAAAGCAGCTGGCCTGAGGCAGAAAATTTTGCAGCATGTAGGAGCAATGGCTCTACCTATGTGTCTGATATGAGAACTACCAGTTAGGTTTGCAAGAACAAGACAGCAGTTCCCTGAAATGGCTTTGGGACAGATCCAAAGAAGTTAGGCACAGCGGCATCATTTCCAAGCTCCTAGATCTTCAGAAGCAGGAATTCACCTGCCCAAACCCGGTTTCTTTATACAAGAACTGCAGGAAGGGAAATTGGAGGAGTTACAGAAAATATCTGCATGCTGGACAGGAAAGTAACAAGGTTAAAAAAATGTTTTGTACAAGTCCGAAAACTGAATAATTCCTAAAACTTAGAAAAAGGTGGGAAGAAACATTCCAGAATCTTTGGCTAAGAACAGACATCTAGTTCTCTTTAAAATTATAGAAGAAAAAAAGGAGGATGGGTGTATTTAGCATTTTCCCAAGGTTTATAGCAAATGTCCTGAGGTAAGAACTGACATAACCCCAAGAGGAATCCATCCAAGCATCTCTAATTTCTAGGCCATGGTGTCATCCTCTCCTGTAGCTGTCTGACTTACACTTATTTGTGCACAGTGAGACAACTTAAACGGGGATCAAAGCACTAACTCTGGTGATTAATGCACTGTCTGGGGAAGTGGAATATGTGGGGTTTCAAAGCAGACAACACAGGCATGTTATGCCCTGAGTAAATGATCTGATCATCAGACTGTGTTATAAAAATTAAAGTGGTTGCAGGAGCAAGACAGCAGCAACCATGCTTCGAGATGTTTCTTTTGAAAATGATGATCATAGCTTTTTTTTCCACTGAGTGACAAGTTGGGTAGGATATTGTATAATTATGAATCTACAAGACCCATTTATCTCAGTTTCTTTAAAATGTATCTGATCTTGGAAGCCTTGCTCCTGCATATGTCGCTAAGTAAATCAGACTAACAAATCCCTCATCTTTTTCTTACTCATTTTACCCTCAGGTCTCAAAGTAAGACTGACCGTCATTTATAAAGGACGGATTATAGGTTTTAGCTTTGCCATAAAATAATAATTTTGTTTAGTACTAGACACTTTCCTTCTATATTGATACTGTTGCTCCAGAGGAAAATTCATGTATAGCTTTTCTTCCCAAATGATGTATGTATTTTTAGCCAGCTCATGTAATGTTTTTTTCAAAGTCAGTCTAAGCAGTTGAATTTGCCCCTGGTTAAAGTACTTCACTTATATCATGAAATGCCTGAAAAATATTTAAGTGGAAATGTCTTCTATTTTTAAAAGATTTATTTTATCAGATGATTTCTCAGCAACTAGAATGAGCTGCTGAATGAGCAAATGAAAATGCACATATGAAATGATCCCTTCTCTATTTCTGTGCCTTACACCCGGGTAGCCTATAGGCGTGTGAGATAATTTTAGTTTTATTCTGCTTGAATAAGATACAAAGAAATGTCAGTTAGATACATATTTATTTCTGTGGCCTGTCTCCTAGGAAAGAAATGTTTTTCTTTTACATACTAGAGCTTGCTGTCTCTTTTCTTTAAGTTTCACTTTTATCTCATAGCATTCCTTTTTTCATATATTACAACTTGATGTGACATTCAATATCCCTGAATATTCAAATAATAGTAAAAATACTAACTCAGCTACAAAAGAAACATATTACATACTAGTAGAAACATAATACAACATATGTGAGCGCTTTGTTCCTCTTATGAAACATATTACAACATATGTGAGGGCTTTACTCCTGTACTTTCAAAATTGCATGAATGAAATGTTATATTTAAGATTAATAACAGAGTTAAAAAAAAACAAACCACAGACACTATATGTGTTTTTATTTCAGGGACCTCATATGGGTGTTGATAATAACTTGTCAACACCATTTTTTAAAAGATAAGATTTTCTGGGAAAGATGACCAAGACCGAGGGAAAAGTTTGGTTTTCTTTTTTTCCAAACACTATAGTTTCCCTTACTACTTAGAAATATGTTAGAAGGATCACGTTCTTTTTCCCTGCAATTTTTCCTGAAACCTGAAATTGAACACGCTGAAAATTTTCACTCTAGTTAGACAATTTTCAGTGTTGTCTAAAGGCTAGCATTAGTACATCTGTCTTGTCCACCTTCTGCCAGAGTTTTGCATGGATTAGATACATTAAATAGACTATCACTACAGTTCCATTTTATTTTATGTCTAGATATTCAAGGCACAAGTCCTGACAACCACTCTTCATACAATTCATTATCTTTTCCACCTCCTTCCTCAATAGG